TCAATCCTTAGAGGTCCTGAGCTTATAGATTCATCTAACCTCTTTGTTCGTCGGATAGTAAGTATCTGTCTTCCTGGTGTGGGCCTGTTTCTCTTTTTGTCCTTGTTGTTGTTAGGTGTTGTTCAAGTCAGCTCTGATTCATAGTGACTGTGTACAATAGAATGAAACTCTGCCTGGTTCTGCACCATCCTCACAATATTTGCTATGCTTGGTGGAAACATTAGTCCAAGGTACTAGTGGACCATGTGAACCTCAGCTTATAAAACCATGAGACCAGAAGAACTAGATCATGCCCAGTTACCACCTGTCAATCACTCAGAAAGGGATCTGTGCAGGAGATCCTGGATAGGATAGAGTGGGAGAATAATGTGGAACAAAACTCAAAATCATAAAAAAAAAAAAAAAAACCAACAACCAGGTTTACTGGTCTGATAGAGTCTGGTGAGACCCCTGAGACTATGGCCCCTAGTTATGCTTCAGGCCTGGAATTGAACTCACTCCTATGGCTTCCAGCCAAACAATAGGCAGACATATAAGGTGAACATTTATAACAGGTAGAAACACTCCTTCTTGTTGCTAGGTTCCATCAAGTCGGCTCCGACTCATAGAAACCCCATGTACAACAGAACAAAATACTGCCCAGTTCTACACCAGCCTTACAATCCTTGCTATACATGAGCCATTGTTCCAGCCATTGTGTCAATCCATCTTTTTGAGGATCTTCCTGTTTTTTGGGGGCCCTCCACTTCACCAAGCATGATATCCTTCTTCAGGGACTGGTCCCTTCTGACAACATTACCAAGTAGGTGAGATGAAGTCTGGTTGTGGCTGTTCTCGCTTCCAGGGAGCATTCTGGCTGCACTTCTTCCAGGACAGATTTGTTCGTTCTTCTGGCAGTCCACGGTATTTTCAGTATTCTTTGCCAGCACCACAACTCAAAAGCATCAACTCTTCTTTGATTTTCCTTATTCATTGTCCAGTTCTCATGCATATGAGGCGATTGAAAATACCATGGCTTGGGTTAGGCGCACTTAATCTTTAAAGAGACACCTTTGCTCTTCAGCACTTGAAAGTGGTCTTTGGTAGCAGATTTGCCCAGTGCAATACGTCATCTGATATCTTGACTGCTGCTTCCACTGGTGTTGATTGTGGAATCAAGTAATATGAAATCTTTGACAACTTCAATCTTTTCTCCATTTGTCATGATGCTGCTTATTGATCTAGTTGGGAGGATTTCATCTATGTGCCATTATGCTGAGTCAGAGATAATTTGCTAAGTACAAGTCACTTCTTATTTTAGAAATCCTGATGACTTATGGTCAAATGCTTATGCTCATCAGGCTAAGCAAAGAACTGTATTTTTCCATGCTGAGTGAGAGATGGAAGAGTAGAGAAAAAGAGGAGGCCAATGTGGAGACTTTATGATTCGTTTGGACAAGTATTCACATGGCTCGTACAGGATGCGATGTGATAGGATGCACACACCACCCTGTGTGTGATTCTCACCTAGCCAAACTGAACTAGAATCCTGTTAGAAGTTCACAAGAACCAGGTCTTCAACCTGGTTCATCTGGTCTGACCCCCTGCTGATAACTTGCATTTTCACTCCAGATATAATGACTTCAAATCAACTTTTTATCTTACTACATTTACTCTAAGAATCACTTGGAGATATTGTTAATATGTCTATGTAAATAATGGTGCTTCTATAAAAAGAATATATTCTTATTGATAAAAAATGCACAGGAAAGTACTTGTGGGTGTGAGACACAATGTCTGGGATTTGCTTTAAAATATTCCAGTGTGTGTGTGTGGGGGGGAAGGTAATAGCCAAAAATCAATTTAGGAGCTCTGGTAGCGTAGTGCCTAAGGCACTCGACTGCTAACCAGAAGGCTGGCAGTTCAAACCCACAGCCACTCCTCGGAAGGAAGATGGGGCAATCTACTTCAGTAGTGATGCTGCCTCAGAAACCCAAGGAGGGGTCACTATGAGTCAGGGCCAACTCGACAGCACATAACAACAAAAACCAATTTGGCAAAATGTTGGTAATTGTTGATATTGGATGGTAGCTATATGGCAGTTCATACACTACTCTCTTATTTTTCTTTAGGGGCAAAATTTCCCACAATGAGGTAAAAAATGGAGAATTATAACAATTAAAAAAAAAAAAAAAAGGTGGTTCTGAAATCTGACTGATCATCAGAATCCCCCGGGAGTGTGAAGATTCTGGATCTGCCACCAAACCGAGTCAACAAACTCATTGCCAGTGAGTCGATTCCAACTCATAGCAATCCCCATTGGGTCTCCAAGGCAGTAAATCTTTACCAAAGTAGATTACCCCATCTTCCTTTCATGGAGCAGCTGGTGGGTTTGAACCACCAACTTTCTGGTTAGCAGTCAAATGCCTTAGGCACTGCGCCACCTGAGCTCCTTGTACCTGCCACAGTCCTCTGGAATCCATGCTGTGTGAGTCCATTTGTGTGAGCATTTGCTAAGGGAAGAAAGTTACTTCATAATTTTCCAAGACAGTGATGCGGCCAATCCTGGTAGCCATCACAGTCCCATACCACCCCTTCTGATGTGTCTGGCCCAGGAACTCTTATTCCAGTCTTGCTGCCTGTCTTTCCTATCTTACTCACCTTCCTCCTCTCTTTCTCTACTTTTTTAAGGCAAATAGGACCAAGGCTGCAGATGAGCAAAAAGAAAACCAGATACTCCGACTCATGGTGATCCTGTGTGCCAGAGGAACTGTGCTCCACAGGCTTTTCAATGGCTGTTTCGGAAATAGATCCCCAGGCCTCTAGGTGGGCTTAGACCTCCAACCTTTCAGTTAGCAGCGAGTGTGTTAATTGTTTGCACCACCTGGGCCCTAGCATCCGGGTGCAGACACCTACAGGCCTTTCACACTCCCATCTGGGCCTCTGACCACACTGTTAAACCACAGCCCTGTACTTGGGTATATGGCCCTGCCCTGAAGTTCTTATGTTTAAAAACCTCTTACTACTCACAGATGAGAGCTATATCAATTGCACAGGTTTACATCAAAACAGTGCCTTGGGAAGCATGGTCTTAATACTTAGGCCTATTTTTTCTTTCATCATTTATAAACATAAAACAGCAAGATTTGTTCTTAAATAATTTATTTTTCAATATTGACACTTATGAAAAGTTACATTTACTTAGGAAAACTTCAAGAAATCCAATAACGAGTAAAAGGCATTCTATTAGGGGAAACTAAATGTGCAAATTTCAAATATTTTCTATAATAAGTATAAATAATTCCACTGTTCACATTAAGAAAGAAAATATTGATACACACAAAATATTAAAATATCACTTTTGAAAGAACTAGATGAAAACACTGAAGTTTATCTGATGTCTTTAGAAAGAGATTGTTATGATTTTTGTCAGGGAAAAAGACTGACGTGGACTCCACGTGGAAAAAAAATATCAGAAAATATAAAGAAAGGCAAGGGAGTGTTATGAATTGCCACTCTTTTCCAGTCCTAAGTCCAAACCGAAAAATGGTAGCCTTTACCTCTAGGGAAAATGTATTCCCTCCTCCCTTTTTTATTTTCTAGAATAACTATGACAGTGACATATAGCACGTAGACAAACTGCAGACCAAGATGAGAAAGAAATTCCCACTGGCTCCTGGTGCCCTGGTTTTGCTGCTCCAGGTTGCTGCCCAGCTCCTCAGGACACAGCCTTAACAGAGCCAAGAAGACAGCGTAGTTCCCTGTGTCCTTTCCTGCTCTTTCCCAACATTCTCTCCCAGGACCTAGGACCCTCAGAGCCACTACAGAGGATGGAGAACAGCTTCTTAGCAAACGGCTGGGAAGTAGCTCTGGACAGTTTCATGAAAAGAAGAGTGATATTTTAACGAATTTACTCTTGATGCAATTCCTTCTTTCCTAGGGGAAGAGAGCCGAAGTGTTACCTAAGAGGCTGCCTTCCCCACTGACGCAGGAACTTGTCCAGTTCCACACTGTGACCCAAAGTGACTCTGTCATCTCAAGGAGATACTTCAGCATCGTTCCCCAGAGCAGAAGAAACATCTTCATTTAAATAACCTTGAAGTTTGTAATAAAATAAATAAAGGAGCACTCCCTTTCAAAAGGTAGCTGGTCAAGTTCATGCAAGCCATATATACTTGTGGTGCCCAACAACAACCAGAAAACAGGTTATTATTATTAGTCCCCCTACGTATACCTCCGGGGCAGCATTTCCACATAATAAACAAGAAAATCCCCTCATACATAATATAAGGGTATATTATATATGTACGTATGTCTATGCACACCTCAGGTCAAGCTAACCTCTTTAGAAGTAAAGGCAGCGATAGCCCAAAGAGGGTTACAACTGCCAATCAAAATATTGTCATCTTTAGAAGGTGCATAATGTAAGAGCAGCTTGTTTGATTTTCAGTGAGACTAGTTCAGTCTCAGCAGCCTCCGAATCACAGTCTGTGGCCAGTTCTGCTTTGGCCGTGCCCAGAGGGAAGGAAGCAGGCAGACAGGGGAAAACCATTAACTACTGACTCTGAGTATGTCCATTTTCCCTGAGCTTTCTGGAGCTTCTCATGGAGGGCCTTGGTGCCCTGAGGACTCAGCGCTGGGGCCCCGACTGGCCTGCCTGCCTTCTTCTTTTCTTGAGATGACGCTGCAGTCCTGTTGGGCAGGATGCAGGGTGATGGCCCAGTCCTTTCCAAGTCCACGTAAGCTCCTGGCTTTCTGCTTGGTGGAAGAGGTGGAGCAGCCCCAGGCTGGCTCTTGACACCATCCAAACTCTACAGCAAGATGGGAATTTTGCCAGGTTACCCAGCATGAGCATCATGGCCGGAAGAAGAGCTTGTCTGTCCTTTCCCGGCTCCGAGGCACTCTCGGGCCCACTGTGGCTGGGACTGACCCTCCAGTGGCAGCACAGTGTTTAGAGGATAGCACCATGTTGGCAAACAGCTCTAGGAGCCCTTGGGTGGGGCTGGCCCACCTGTGTCTGCTCAGCCATACATCTGCTTGAACTGAAAGCACTCATTGCAGTAGCCGCTGCACTTGGCATTGCCGAAGTGTTCGCAGGCTGGGGCTCGGCAGCGCTGCTTGGGGGCCTCATCGGAAGCAGGCTCTCCTCGGTGGGGCGCCGGAGCCACTCGCTGGCTGAGGTGCTGGCACTCCATACAGAGTTTCTCACTGCAGCAGGCCAAGATGTTCTTGCAGGAGGCTCGGGCGCACTTGGGCCTGGACGAGCTCTGGGTGGTGCGTGGCACGTCTCGGCGCTGGCTCGACCTCTGTGTGGGGCAAACACAGAGAACTGTCTCTCACTTCTCAGGGAGAGCAAATGACATTTCACAGAACAGTGTGGGTTCTACAGATAGCTTTTTTGGAGAAAAAACATCTGCCTGACCCAGAAAGACATGTGTAGCCTATGAACAGGAGCGTTCTCCCAATTCCCGAGGAAAGCCAGACACTCCAAGGAGACTGAGTGGGACCATCTGTCAGACCACAAGAGGTCTGAAAACAGGACCTAGATAGGGTCTTTTTTTTACAATACTACTAAACCAAACTCACTGCTGTCGATCGAGTCGGATCCGACTCAACAGTGACCCCTCCTTGGGTTTCTGAGGCACTATCACCACATAAGTAGATTGTCCAACCTTCCTTCCAAGAAGTGGCTGGTGGGTTAGAACTACCAGTCTCCTGGTTAACAGTCAAATGTCTTAGGCACTATGCCACCAGAGCTCCTTTTTTTTTTTTTTTAAGATAGCTTTTCTACCATTCTGCAAGCAATGTAAGAAGCATCTACCAGCCAAGTTTGCTTTTCTTAAGTGACAATGAATGCAGGCGCCTGGGGTGCCCCACCTTCTGTCTCCTCATGAAAACGAACCAACCAACCAACCAAACCAGTCAAGTCGATTCTGACTCCCAGCAACCCCGTGTTCCACTGGTTCTCAATGGCTACGACCTTTCTGAAGCAGATCACCAGGCCTTCCTTCATGGTGCCTCTGGCTGGATCTGAACCACTAACCTTTCAGTTAGCAGCCGAGTCCATTAGTGCCATCCAGGGACTCCCCTCGTGACACAGGAGTGGGTACTGAAGGAAATCCATTGACCATTTAGACGTCTATGCTATGTTATCTACCACAAGTCAAAGTCTGTCACCTGGCATTTTGAAGACTTTTAGAGGTTTTGTTCTATGGCTGATTTTATTGGCTTTTTTAAATGAATTGTACAGTAAACTTTGGCCATGATAACCTACAGCAGCTGCTGCACTTCTGCCCCCAGGAACCATGGGGAAGAGGACTTTCTGCCTGTAATTCAGTGGGAAGGAGTCTACTAAGAGGGGAGAAAGGTATTGCCCCAGAAAGGAGGACCTGGCCCGCCCAAGACAAGGAGGATCTCACAGTGTCTCACCAGTTGCTCTTCAGTCCTTTTGGCTTCACGAAATCTCTGATTCTGAGCTTCTATGAAACACTTCTGGCAGTATCCTTCGAACATCGTGCTTCCGAGGGTACCACATTCTCTCCCCAGACAGGGAACCGTGTTCTGGAACCTGGAGGCTGGGGAACTGGATTTACCCGAGGCAGCAACAAAATCTAGAACAGAGTTGAGGCTCATAAGTACCACACAGGGGTCACCATACAGCAATGCTGACATTAGAGAGGTAAATGGGTTCCAATTACAGACTGGAAAACCAGTTGCCGTTAAGTCGATTCCGATGCATGGCGACCCCGTGTGTGTCAAAGTAGAACTGGGTTCCATAGTGTTTTCAAGGCCATGACCTTTCAGAAGCAGATCACCAGGCTTCTGAGGTGCCTCTGGGTAGGTTCAAACCACCAACCTTCCTGTTAAAAGCTGAGTGCTTACCTGTGTGCACCACCCAGGACTACAAACAGAGATTAGGCCAATCTGCAGATGAGATCTGCCTTCTAGAAATTCAACAAAATGAAAAAATAATGCCATCTTTGCAACATCTTTGGCTTCCTACATGGCTGCTCAATCGCAGTAACAAAACAAACAGGAGCCCTTAACCGCCCATCCGTCCTCTCAATCAGAGATTCTAAACTCACAACTGTGTTCTTCTAAAGTCAGAGAAGACTTCCTTCTCCCCAGCTGCAGATTTGGAGAATTCTCAGTCACACTAACTTTCAGAACTCTAATTTAGATTCTCCATTATAAATGCCACACACAGGGGCCCTTTACAGACAGACGCCATTAACTCTCTCTACAGGGTGCACCTGGTGCTCTGATGCTGGTGTCCTAGCAGCTGCTGCAATCACACACAGTCTTTCCCTCCACACGTGGCTGTCAGAGGCACAGTGACGGCTCCACGTGTCACAGCTGGTGGAGATGCACAGCCAGATCTAACCATCCCACCACCTGGCCTCCTTCTCTCCATGGTTAGAAACCCCTTTTTGGCGAGGAGCTCTGATGGCATCGTAGTTAAAGCATTTGGCTACTAACCAAAAGGTCGGTGGTTTGAACCCAGTAGCTACTCTAGCTGAAAGATGGGCCGGTCTGCCTCTGTAAAGACTGGCAGCTTTGGAAACTCTCTGGGGTCACCATGAGTTGGAATCGGCTTGATGGCGGTGGTTTTGGTTTGGTCTGGTCAGTAGCTGCTGCATGAGGAAATCAAGTACTTCACTCACGTTTGTTTTCTCTGTACTCGATGAAACACAGCGTGCAGAAGCCCTTGTTTTCTGGAGTCCCAAAAAATATGCAGCCGGCTTTTCTGCACTTGCTCGTGCCTGTTCTATCCTCAGGAGTCCGTGCTGCCTGGGAGAGGCAGCCCAACGGGGCTTCGCTTCCAGCTCTGTGGCAAGAATGCGAGGAGAGACTCTGCATGAGCTGGGAGGGATCCGACTTGGACCGCTGGTGACAGGCAGGAGGGATACTAGAGCTGAGGCTAGGGGAGGGCTCTGCCGCAGTCCTTTTGAAGCAAGTACTGCAGATCCCATTAAACGTCCTGGTGGCATCCTGGAGGCAAGCTTGGCACTTACCAGGATCTAAATGCCTCATGGGGTCCATGTTGTGGCCGGCGTTAAGCTGCCGGGCATTGTGGCAACGCTCACAAAATCCATTGTGCTGCACGTTCAGCGTGAATGGGCAGCCGGGACTCCTGCACTTCATGGCGGTGGTCTCGCTGAATAGGAAAAGGCTGGGTGCAGTGGGTGGGGCTGAGTGGGGACCCCCAGCTGCCTCCTCAGTTCTCCAGGCCAATGGATCACAAGCCTCACCCCGGGAGGCCCCAAGCACCATGCCAGGGACTGCCTCAGGGCCTGGCTTAGAGTTCAGCTTTGGGAGCTTCTTTTGATTTTTTTGCCGCCTCTCCGAGCATTCGTGGCAGAAAGGCTGGGTGTTCACGGACATGAAGAAAGGACAGTTAGGAGTTTCACACTTTACGTCCATGAGAGAAAGCTGGGGCATGGAAGGTTCTAGAGGATTCTGAGCATACATCTCTCGCCGTCCCCGTGCGCTGCTCTCCTGCCACTTCTTGTACTCATGCTGAACAAGTTCAAAATAATCATCCACCAGATTTATTTCTTTTGGTAAGTTAGCTTCATCCAACCTAAAGATCAAAAGGGAAAATCTGAGAACACACACATACATACACACACACACACAGAATTTTACACCACCAGCTCACAGAGCAAACTTTTAGGATGTGAATTATGGTGATGACTACCCACTGAAATGTAGGCCTATGATAAAGAGTTTGTACCTCTAAAGTAACATGATCCAATACATCTACTAACATGTTTCAGAGTGGAAGAAGTAAGGTCGTCTGCTGAGAAGACATCAGTATTTTTAAAATCCTGGCCCATCCAAAATTCCAGATAATTCTGAGGAAAGCACTGCTCTGAGTAGACTCTCACCTTATTACTCTATTGCCCCTTCGAAAAGCCACTTTTCTTTCCTAACTTCTAAGAGAAAATTTCTAGTAAATCATGACTCAGGCTATTCCTTTGGGTCTAATTCACTTTATAGTACAAATGACTTTGTACTATATGTTCTGTATTTCGCTGTTATTAATTTTAAGCCTTGTCTCTACTCGAGTTAACTACCTTGAGTAGTAATTGGGAGGCAGACATACTGCCTAGGCACTATCTGTTTACTTCTGATGTGGGTAAAGCACTCAGCTGCTAACTGAAAAAGTTTGAACCCGCCAGCCGCTCCGTGGGAGAGAGAGGTGGCAGTCTGCTTCCAGAAAGATATACTGCCTTGGAAACCTGGGGCAGTTCTACTCTGTCCTACAGGGTGATCAGATGGAATGGACTCAATTGCAGTGGGTATACTTTTGCTAATCTCCACTTTGGGAAACTGCATGGACCAATTCTCTGATACCCTCATGGCCATCTCTTACACCACATTTCAAGTCCTAAGATATAGGTATCTTTTTAACATGAAGCTGTGTGTAAAACCTGGATCCTGTACAAAGCACACTCTGGGCCTCTCTCTCCATTTCCACATGGCAAAAACCATGCAGCAGCCACGTAACACTGTTTACAACAGTCTGTGTCTGACATGGCTAGCCTCACCAAGAAGCTAAGGGAAAGGGCTTTTGTTACCAAGAGTTTTCACTTACCTGTCTTTCTACTGGAGTGTCAGTGGAAAGGTTGGTAATTTGCACCACCAAGAGGTGCCTTGGAAACTCAAGGAAACTTTGTTCTACTCTGTAACCCATGGGGTCATCATGAGTCAGAATCGACTTGCTGGCAACTGGTGGTCTTTTTGTTATGTATTAGGGCAATTAGAAACACCAAACTCCCTTGGTGGAAGCACACGCTTGAAACCCACAATTCTGAATGTCAGCATCCAGATATCCAAAACAATCCATGGGTGAATCACTCATTCCCATCTGAAACTGAAGGCAGGATTGCCTAACGTTGTCTTTTCTGACACATGGACATGACTGAATTTAGTTCACATGGGTGGAAACCAGCTTTAAATAACGTTACTGTTGAGCTGTGGGTTGGCACCAGTGTATGTGGTTGAAGCTGCAAAAACAGTGAAAGGTTATGCAGAACCCAGCCAGCAACAAATCACTTACTTTGCAGCATTGATCAAATGCGTCGTGCCGAGGTCCCAGCCCTGGACAGGGATTTCTATCACCATCAGGTACTCTTTTAGTAGCTTCTCCTTCATCTCATTTTCAGGGTCTGTCAGGAAATGAACTTTGAAATCTTCAAATCGTCCTCTGTCTCTGTTAACAAGTGGAACGGCTCGGATTTCTAAGGGAAAAACAAGCATGTGAGCAAGCTATTATTATGCTCAATGAGAGTACTAAGGAGGTCATACCTGTAATGATTGAATTTTTTAAATGTACAAAGGATACAATTAAGGCATAGAAAGTATTTTCTAGCCATAGTAAAACCCAAAAGGGAAAACACAGCATCCTAAATGCTAAGATAAAGTGCACTGCTTCCAGGAATCTCACAGGATAGCAAGCTGAGTCCAGGCAGTGGATCTTAGTAATTACAGTCCCATGCTTCAGGGTCAGACTAACCCAGATTGAACCTCAACTTTGTCACTATCAAGCTATGTGACATTTGGCAAGTTATTTAACCTCTCTGAACTTCAACTACCTCATCTTTAAATAAGACTAACACTGCCTACATCTCATAGGCATGCTATGCAGATGAAATGAAATCACGCAATGTACACACAGCACTTAGCACAGTGCCTACTCCAGATAAAGCTAACAACTGCTAACAACTGATGGATTTACCTGGTGTATTAAGTCACTACCTGGAGGGCTTTGTATACCTTAATTTATTATGTATTAATAGTAACAGTTGTTATTGACCGCCATCGAGTTGATCCTAACTCATGGTGACCCCGTGAGCATCAGAGTAGAACTGTACCATGAGGATTTTCAATGGCTGATTTTTCAGAAGTAGATCCCTAGGATTTGTTTCCAGGCAACCTGTGCATGGACTCGAACCTCTAACCTTCTGGTTAACAGCCAAGCACCTACTATGTGCACCACCCAGGGACTCCGAAATAGCAGCGTATGTTGTAACTCCTACTTGCTACAAATATGCCAATTGAAAGTATTTCCCAAACAACACCACAGGCACGAAAAAAGATAAGGGAATATTATGATTACTACTATTGTATTACCGTTACTAACCCAGCACATGAAAGAATAGTTTGTTCAATTAAAATTATTTTTATAAGAAGCAAAGCAGCAAACACCGATGTGCGAGAACAAGAGACGCCAGTACATAACAAGTTACAAATCTGAATGGGTGCTGTTTTCTCACCAGGCCCGCTGTCCTTGAGGGTCACCAGGGGTACAAAGTGTTGACTGTCATAGCCAAGAACAATAGGGTATCGGTAGCATTCCTGGGCCGGCCAATGGAGAGGCAAGTAAATTCCGCCCACCTTCAAAGGAGCAAAATTTGAACCGGATTCCAAACTTCTCAGCATTTTGTCTGTGGAAAAAGAAAGAAAAATAAGGCCCCTGGGTAATTTCATCAAATTCCACTTAGCTACTGTTACCTGTAGCATTGGTGCCATGGCTCTTTCCTACAAGCCAAAGCATGAATGCTGAAAAGCACTTCAATACAAAAAGCAGTCTGCAGGCAACTCACCGGAAATGACAATGATTGGCCTTCTGAGAATGTTACACAGGACAAATATGTGTATCTCTTCCAGTGAATGATACTGAAGTCGACCTCGGGCCCCTGGAATGTCTGTGGACGCCATTTTGATTAGGTTGTCCCATTCATCACTCCAGTTCTAAGGAGATGAAGGAAAAAAAAAAAAAAAAAACTACCTGAATGTACTTTGCATTAAAATATCATTCTGATTTCACACTGGAATTATTCATTGATATAATTCAGCCTATTTTTTCCCTGTCTTGAAATAATCATTGAACTGAGCACTCCCTTTCCCCATTTGGGTTTCTTCCTTTAATTTTTTCCACTATAAGGCAAACTTAGAAGTGGGGGAGGCTGGGGACAGCACCTGCTTTTTTTTTTTTAAATGAAAAAAACCCTGTTGAGGCATAAAATTGAAGCTCCTCATCCAAATGTACACAAAAATTCCCAGCTTGTGACTGAGAGTGGTGAACACATGGCTGAATATAATTCGCTGGCTCAATGAAACATGGGAAAGGCAGCCAAAGGGAAAACCAACAGGAGCTCCACATGCAAAGGCCATGAGCAGAGACTCCACTGCCTCTGAGCCACAACAAGTACCCAAGCAATTCCACAGGAGATTTCCTGGTGTTTTCCACCGAGTAAGCTTTGCTTAGCCAGACTCATATGACCTAGGAAACGGTAAGTGCCTTGAGGGCAGGAACTGGGCCTAAATTTCCCTTTATCTACCACAAAGCTCAGCCAGGAAAGGCTTAGAGGGGGAATAAAACTTACCCGAGTATCATAGCAAAGCCCTGTTTCCACAAATTCCTGAGATTTAAGAGACTCCAGTTGCCAGCGGAATTTGAAGTTGCGTGTGTCCGTCTCCTTGAGAGTGCTGAAGAGTGCCTTCCGCAGGACCAAGTCTGTGTCCTGAACACCCCACATGTACTGAGAAGCAGCATGCATTAAGCAGTTCCCATCCCCTGAGGACAGAGGGAAGAAAACAACAATTAGAGGCATATTCTATAAACTAAACCCATTGATACTGAAGCCATTCCAACTCATAGTGACACTGTGGGACAGAATTGAACTGCCCCATAGGGTATCCAAGACTGAAAATCTTCATGGAAGTAGACTGTCACATCTTTCCCAGCTGGTGGGTCTGAAATGCGACCCTTTTAGTAAGCAGCCAAGCACTTAACCACTGTGCCACCAGGCTCCTAGAGGAACTGGGTCTAAGGCCTAGCAAATGTTTTCAGAGTAAACAAGCCCAACTACTGTCATCCATCACCTCTCTGTTAGTTTGTCCTACCATGGTGGCTTGTATGTTGCTGGGATATTGGAAACTACGCCCCTGGTATTTTGAATACTAGAAGGCTCACCCAAGGTAGACAGGTTTCAGTGGCACTTCCAGACTAAGACACTAGGAAGAAAGGCCTGATGATCTACTTCCAAAAATCAACCAGTGAAAACCCTATGGAGCACCACAGAATACTATTTGATACAACCCTGGAAGATGAGTCCCCTCCCACCCACCCACTCAGCTTGTTGGAAGGCACTCAAAATACGCAGCGGCTCAACAAAGACCGCACGGCTACCAATAACCGGAAGATGGTGCAGGGCTGAGCAATGTTCTGTTCTGTTGTATATGGGGTCTCCGAGAGTCCAAGTGGATGGGGTGGCAACCAACAACAACAGGGCTACCTCAGGGGAACAAAGAGGGCGGGGATGCAATGCAAGTATCTTAATTCCTTAGTCAAAGAGCCAACTGACAACACTTCACAAGTAGGTAAGAGTTTTAAGAAAAAAATTATTTTCCTCTTATTTTTAATGCATGGGAAGAATAGAGCAAAGGAGGCAGGGACGGGTCATCAGGGCACTTTGGTTCCAGCTTGGCACTGCCACTAACTAGTTTAGGCGACCTTGGGGAAAATACCTTAACCTCTGGGTATTTTTCCTCTTTGTGTAATGAGGCCATTGGATTATGATCTCTAAAGGCCTGTCCCTTTGAAACATTCCTTGAATTTCTGGTTAAGACCCAGACACTAATGCTGTCTAAGTCCAAAAAGGGGCACACAGGGTGCTGCGCACAAAGCGGGAAGCAGGCATGGCGGGTTACTAGACAAGGACAGGTCTGGCTATGACTCAGTGGTAAACGACTTGACCATTCATTCTACTAGAGCCTGTAGGGTCTGGGAGTTTCCTCTCTTGATTTATACAGTGGGGCTGACACCACCAAATAATTTACCATCCACTTCCACCCCCCAGAAATGAATGCTTTATGTGAAGCTGCATGTCAGCCACTGTAAAGTCTTTTTTGAAAGTTACATTGCACCTGTCTGTCCAAATCTGAAAATAATCAGCATTGAAATTTTGAGTATTTTGAGAAGAAAATAGAAACTAATTTTATTTCATTAATTTGTGACTTTTCCAGGTTAAAGATTGCCATTTATTAAAGACATTCTTTTTCAACTCCCTAATAATAAACAATGAAAAAAACCAATAAACATTTGGGGTAATGCTTGACACAGAAAAGCAAACCCTCTGATCTCCTTTAGCAAAAATTACAAAATTATTTTTGTAAAGAAAAAGATAATACTGTTTTCCTCTAGTACTTTATAACTGAGGAAATAAAGCTATTTGAAATTTTATATTATTAATAATTAAGCTGTAAACAAAACAAAACCCAAAGTCAACTATGTCTACAGCCAGTATTCCTTCAATTTACACACTAGAAAGACTAACCAAACAAGTACTCAAACAAACGAACAAAAAGATTGCTTATGCCTTGCGTCTTGGCAGAAGTGTGGTAACTATTGCATTCTGCTGAAATTTCCCCTTTGCAAAATCTAGAGCAAAGATAAGGTTTTTTTTCTTCTTCTTGTGCTTACTTTCAGTTCTTTATTGAGATGCACTAGTATAAAATTCCCTAAGTAACATCTGGAATTCCCCAGCGTTAAGTTATTTGACTAGCAATTGAGCAACAGCTATTGTACTTTTTGTTCTGGTGTGTAGACATTTAAACTGCGAGGTGCACCCTGGACTTTCCAAGTGGGTGTGGTCAGGGTGAGCTGGAATAGGGCTACTCATTATACAAGTGAAATGCTGCAGCCAATAGACGCTGGAATTTTTCACATGAAGTTTCAATTTTATGCCACCTACTCCCTTCCTCATTCACCACAGTCTCATATCCTCAAATGCAAACTTGTGAATCACCCCCTCCCTAAACAGCCCATTGACTTTGTAGAACCCTCCTACAGGGGGAAGGCTGAAAAGAGGGGGTGCCAATAAAAATTAGAAAGAAAAGTCATTTGCTTTTCCCCCTCCTCTAAGTATTTGTTTTTCCTTTTTCAGAATTTTAAAGAATTTTCTTGAAAGTGGGGAAATAAATGAATGCTGAACTTAAAAATCCCAAAGAAAATGTTATAAAAATGCACTTGCTCTTGGAGTTTTATTTCTGCTGTGAATTCTGGTTGATTTAATTGACCTATCTTTGAAAATGGGTGTTTACTATTTATACTCCACTTTTTTTCTTAAGGAATTGAAGTATGTTAAACTTAATGCCAGTTGATATTGTTAATGATAGCAAGGCTTGCCCCTTTTCTATCACATTTCCAATTTTGCAGAATATCACTGTTCCCAACTCTCCCAAAGCAGACGCCATCTCTTCTTTTAACAACATGGGAGTGTTAGACCACAAACTGTGAGGTATATAAAAGCCCTTGATGATGACTTAACATAATCACCAACTGCCATGCATCACTTGACTGAACACCGTGAGCAATGTACACACTAGCTACTCCCAGCTCCTCTGCACCAATGTCCCTAACAGTCTATGTTTCATACATACAGGCAACATGGTGTGATGAGGCACAACAGCCCAGGACCCACACTCATTCACCAGTCATGCCAAGTTACCCAAATCCAAAACAACCAAAGCTATAATTAATTAAGTTCATGCTCTTATCATAATCACTGTCAACAAAGGTCTGCTCCTGGATGTAATATTTTGAACGGGGTGGTTTGGGAATGTCATTGATATAAAAACCTGAGAGTCCTGCTCTTACCTAGCTGATAAGCATGGAATTGATCTTGTAGACTCTACTTATCCCTGGTAATAATTATCTCCAGTATAAAGTAGAATTTTCTATATACACTAAATAATATGCTTGGATGTTTCTTTAATGTCCATAATTTCTTGAAAGAAATTATTAATAATAATAATAGAAAAAAACAGTAAGTGTAGGACAGAAAACAGCTATTAGGGGTAAGGTACATTGGGCAAATAGACTAGACAGGAAGAGATAAGTAGGAATCACCAAAAATAGTGAAACAGAGGCGTGAAATTTGTGCTAAAAATCTCAAGTTGTTTTTCTACTTCATATTATGGGGCCATAGGCAATAGAACTTAGGTAAGTGGGGAGGTGAGGAAAGGAGTAGCCATTTTCCAGGTTTACACATAAATGCCATCAATTCAAGACATATGAGGCCATTATAAGCATCTTTTGATTCTAATGGGAAACTATAGTAATATCCAATTTTTATATCATGCTTTCCTTTTGAACTTGAAGCCTTTTAATATTCCATTACTGGGGAGGAAAGGCTATTTATTATGTAGATGATTAAGTCGTGACAAGCACAAGATACCCACATCGTCTAACTGGGGCACGATGCTTAGAAATGCACTCTCCGGGCCCCAACATGCTCTGCTTTCCAGCATCAGAAAATAACCTAAGTCAAAATATTTGCAAAACAAGGTTGCTTTTCTTACGTGTGCCCCTAACCAAGCTGCTGCACCCAGGTGTCTATAACCCCAAAGAGACTTGAGCTGGGGCGGATGCTATTATAATCGAATTAAAGGAGACTGAGAACCTTGGCATCCACCCCCCAGGTAAAGGCAGTGGGCCAGCGCCTGTCTCACCATTTGTTTTCAGAGCCACAAGCTTCCGGGCTTCTCGACACCAGTTGAGCTTCCGCTGGTTTTCCAGGGAGGCTTGGATGTTCTTGTCAATGAGAGCTTTGTGGATGATCTCTTGAAACTGTGGACAAAACTGACAAGTTCTGAACATTTCCAGGGTGTATCGATGCATGGTTTTAAAATGATGAATTATCCCATTGGTAGGTTTGAAAATATCTTCCGGTGTCCTCTCTCTTATCTTCACAGCTTTCCGCATATTGCTCAAATACAAAGCCTGAGGAAGGAGTTGGTCAGCCATTGTGCTCTGGAACACCTGAAGAGGAGGGAAAAAAAAAAAACATTCCGTTAGCCTGGCTGTGATAGAACTCCTATATACCTGCCTGCAGGAAACCCCAGTGTTTGATCTTGTCATTACCCTAATCTTTTAGGCAAAAGATCTTAGTCAGCTCTACTCAGTATACTAGCTGGCCCCAAAGATTAACTCACACTGGCCTGTTTTAAGTTACATCACTTTTAAAGATTAGTCTAAACAGGAGAAGGAAGGCGGAGAGTGGGTACTGAGGAGGAGGAGGGGAATAACCCGTGTTTTCAGTAATGTCTGTCAGGGAGCCAAGCCTGTCTGTCAGCAACAGGTACTATGCTTCCTAATTGACTTAAGCTCTCATTTCATTTAGATGCCACTCCTGTGCAGCTCCTGGATTTTCAGAGCCCTGAATGCTAGTTACAGGGACAACTTCACCCTGACAAGCCTCCAGCTCCTCCCCAAAGACCACCACCAAGCTCCTTGCTCTTGGACAAAGTCTTGATTTCTCTCTTGTAAATACTCCCTCCCTCTACTGGAAAGACACTAAATAGTTTGTGAAAAACCCTGCTTTGTACACTGAAAATATCTTCCGGTGCTACTAGGCTGCTACTTCTATTTCCTCTTTAGCCCCAGAGAGAAATGTCCATAAAGAATCAAAATGGAAGGTTTTCTAATCCATGAAAAAGCCTTCTTCCAACAAGCTGCTTTGCTTGCCTTCAGAACCTCTCCACTGAACTTGATGACCCTGTAATCATAAACAGACCAATAACAGTAACAGAGAAATGCTTTCAGCACTCCCAAGAGCAAACACAGGAGCTCAATTATTTCAATTCAACAGACAACCAGATTTCATCATCGTCCTCCAGGTACCAACACTCAAGATGCATTGAGCACCCTTTGCTTCACCCTGAAATCTACAAACCGCTGGGAAGAGATGAAAGATTGGAAGCAGACAGGGAAATAGCTTTCAGCCAGGGGCCCCTCCAGACAAACGAAGGAGGGCCAGGAGCAGAGACCAGCATCTACTACTTATGCCAACAGAGTGCAATGATGGGAACTGACAAAACGTGGGATCTTCCCAGGGGGCACTGGAGGAAAGGCTAGCATGCCTCCCCCCAAATCCCAACTTCCAAGAAGATGACGACGATGACTTCAGAGCACGAAAATCTTCCTAGGAAGTTTTACGGCAACTCTTAATCCCACTCCTGTGCAATGCTATCTGCAAGGACAAGACTCAAGAAAGACAAACCCATGTAAGAGGGAAGAGAAGATTTTAGGGAGGTCCCTCCTGGATGGGTCCAAGCTCCTTAAGACCTGACAAGTTGTTTGAATTCTTATGGCTCACTCAAAGAAGGGATGGTAGATAACACAGAGGTTGCCTCTGAGGAGTTTTCTGATAGTATTTTTGCATTGAGATTCTTAATTGTCAAGTGGGGCCCAGGACAACCACATTCTCTTGGTCAGATAGCGACCTCGCCTTTTATGGAAGCAATCCCCTGCAGGTGGAACTGGCAGAATAACTCTAGGACAACAGGCACAATCAAAAGACAAAAACACCACACGCACAAACTTTCTGATCATGTCAAAGCCTCTTTCACAACATCATTCATCCATCCATCCATCTGTCCATCTAACAAGCCCTGAGGCCCTACTGAAGGCCACCACCATGCCTGACCTTATTCCCCTCTTTGGAATCACATAACCACCTTAGTCTGCAGAAATAGAGGGAGCAGTTCAGGGTCTACAGCTACCCAGGGGCAGAGCCTTGCCTGGAACCTAGGTCTTCACACAACGTCACACTCATGGCTGCAGTGCCTGCTCCTCTCAGGTGGAAAGAGGCAAGCAGTAAGTAGTAAGATTTTAAACAAGTTAGGTATTGCCTCTTTTTGCTTTTCTGACTCTTCTATTTTTCTTTTCTGGAATTAAAGATCTTTCTGCAAACTTCTAAATTAGTGAGAGCTGTAAACCACTACAAGACATGTAAATGTCAGTATCTGATGGCCCAATACCATCTCAGGTTTGGCCTCTTGGCCTGCAAACCTGCCTCCCTCAAAGAAAGGAAAACACACAAGCTCTCAGCTCTTGGACTTCTCCACACTTCTGATTAAGGAATGAATGTTTGTGACATATGATTGCAATGTCTTTATGACACAAAGGAATGCAATAAAACCCTTAACTTTTTTTGTTTGAACATTTCTGTGACCTCACTTGGATATATTTGAAGATAATTTCCAAATTTTTGTCACTAGGAGCAATAAGATTCTACAGAAAGAACTTATTCATCACTCTCAGTCTTTTACCCCTTGTTTTATTTTTCCACTCTAGGCAGGTGTTTTTATCTGCAATGTGGAAATTTATGAATTATTTATCAGCAAATACCTCATCAGAGTTTTGAAAAGTACGTCTCCAAAAACATCAAAAATTGTAGAAAGCACTGCAAAACGCAAAGGAACATCTTAGACAATGACACTGGCCACTACCTGGGCTGCTCAATAACACGAGACATTTAGAGCTGCAGTCCAGAGGACTCTTTAATTAACAAATATTCTCCCAAAATGCTGCCCCAGACACTTGAATAGACGAGTTGTCCAAGGAAAGAAGATCAGGGACGGGGAGAACTGAAAACAAAGCGGGCTCAAAGAGAGCTGAGCTCCTTCCTTACTTAACACCACTGCTTTCCTGCGAAGCCAGGTGGCAGGATGTGGGGCGACCTGGGTTGACAAAAGACTGCCTGTGGGGTAGGGACTGCAGTGGGGGGCCTACAGATGGCTCCTAAACAGGGTCCCCCAAAAGACGGGCAGGTGTCCCACTTTCCACGCATTCTTCTCTTACCCTGCTGCAACTTTAAAAGACAGACCCATCCTCACCACTTCTGCACAGAACACTGTCTGGAAGATGTCCCTGGAAACGTTAGCTGACTGAAGGCCCCTCACCCACGCTGGGGCTGGTGGTTCTGCACAACCTGAGCAGAAGCCACAGAGGGTTCTGCAAGGGCTACGTGGCCATGAGCATGCAACGCTTAATTCCAAGAGACACCAAAAGGAGCAAAGCACCAATGACCCACCAACAAAGGGGACTGGGAGTAGACTCTCCATCAGTCAGCTGCAGTTCAAGTTCTCTGCACTATGGGAAAAGATCAGCTGGCTGGAGGGATCCAGGGCTGTCGCTTCAACATCTGGCGCAGGACCTAACATTTCAAACCCTAAAAGGAACACAAAAGGCGAACAAACTCCCCTCCAGGAACTCTGCAAAACCAATGCCAAGTAGACGGGGCAAGTTCGAGAGTCGAGGCAAAGACGCACCCACAGCCCTGGTCCCCAGTTAAGACCGTGGCAGGCGGCAGCAGGAGGCACGGCGGTTACCTCTCTGGACTGAATGATCCTCTCTCAAAGTTCCAAGTCCCGGTCAGGATAAGCGCCCAGGTCTGACGAGCCCCATGGACTGCAGGCTCGGGCTCGCCGGCTGGCCCGCTGGCCGGGGGTGTGGATCTGCCCGCCGTCTCAGGTCTCCCAGCAGTCTTTCACGCCGCTCCGCCCCCACGGGCTCGGAGCTTGCTGCACTAGGACCGCCACAGACTGCGCAGTTCTCTTTTTTCCCCTTTCTGTTTTAGCGCTTGCGGACAATAGGGGATTTCCACCCAGGGACTTTCCAGTCACGTGACGCCAGGCCTGGCGCCGGGAGTCCAGAGCCGAGCTCGTCGCTCCACGCCCGCCACCAGGGGGCGCAGGAGGCGAGCGCGCGGTCGCCGCCGGGCTCGCTGCCAGCCTCCGCCCCGCCCCGCAGGCCGCGGAGAAACTCCTGCGCCCCGCCCCGGGGTGTCCCCGCGTGAGTCACCTGGGCATTTCGGAAGCTGGGCCCAACGTCACATCCATGTGGAAATCGCGGTGATGGGAACTGGAAATGAAATAGGTTCTTTTTCGCAGCGCTATTTCTGCAGAAAATCATCAACTGTGGAGAACAAGAAGGGAAATCATAGAGAAAGAAAACCCTAAAAACCACCCCGGCGCCCAGGACTGCAAACTGAGTGGCGGAGTAGAGAAGCTTGGGCTGCGCACGTGATGAGCTCTAGGGGAGAGCCCGAGACCTGGCCCCAGTCCGGGCTGCACACAAAGAAGCAGTAACAGCCCTGGGCGGGCCCACAGCCTCCCTGCCCACCCTGGCTCCAGGCAGGGTGGGATGCAGGCCTGCAGTGACATTCCCTGCTGGCCTGGAGCTTCCCCCACCAGTGTTGGACAAAATCAAGACTCAGAACAATCCCCATCCCTAGTCCCACACTGGTAGCATAGTGCCCAAGGCACTTGACTGCTAACCAGAAGGCTGGCGCTTCAAACCCACCAGCCACTCCTCAGAAGGAAGATTGGACAATCTACTTCCCTAGTGATACGGCCTCGGAAACCCAAGGAGAAGTTGCCATGAGTGGGACCCGACTCAAAGGCACATAACAACATTCCCGCACTGGCCAGGTTTCTTCAATATTTCTGCACATCAAACACATGAGCGGCATCTCATTCCCTAGCATTTCCGTTGCGAAATCACTTCTAGTCCATTACCGATCTTGCTATGCCTCCATAAGACTTCTCCAGGCATCTTTTTTGGATTATCACGATGATTAGTTCACTTCAAGTTACATACCTTGTTATCCCCGCCATGTGCTATTTGCGTGGGAACTACACTGTCTTCATGCAGAGGGCTCACGTGGTGGCTGCGTCAATTATGGACAGAGGGACATTAGGGCGGTTATACCTTGATCCCCTCCAAGAATCCAAAGGTCAACAGTTTGAATTAAACTAAATTAAAATCCAAACCAAACCCACTGCCTTAGAGTTCTTCCAACTCCTAGTGACCCTGTCCGACAGGGCAGAACTGCCCACATAGGGTTTCCAAGACTGTAAATCTTTAGGGAAGCAGACTGCCACCTCTTTGTCCCAGCAAAGTGCCTGATAGGTTCCAGCCTCCAACCAAAGAGGCCACAAGGGTTCCTCCGACCCTACTCTGTCCCATAGGGCCATTATGAGTAGGAATCAACTTGATGACAATGGGTTTTTTGGGCCCTCTAAGCACAGGTGCCCTATTGGCTCCCTTCCTAGAATAACCAAGCTAGAATCAGATTGAAATATTCTTACTTTTAAATATACTTAAATATGCTTGTCAGGCTATGTATTCAAGTTTTGAACTTGAAAACTATTTCTTCTCCCCAGTGGGAGAACAGGACAGGGGTGGGATGGTGGGTGGAACTTTTTTGGCAAAAGGATTATTAGAACTTTTTTGACAAAAAGATTATCAGTAACCTGAAAGGACAGAACAACCCTGAAGGGTTATATTCACAGCTATCCCTTCCCACTGGTCGAGGTAGCCTCTTTGCCAACGTGTTGTTGTTAGGTGCCCTCGAGTCGTTTCAGACTCATTGCGACCCCATGCACAGCAGAACAAAACGCCACCCGATGATGCGCCAGCTCCATGACCTTTGCTATACTTGAGCCCATTGTTGCAGCCACCGTGTCAATCCATCTCGTTGAAGGCCTTCCCCTCCTTTGTCAACACTCCACCTTACCAAGCATGACATCCTTCTCCAGGGAATGGTCCCCTCTGACAACATGACCAAAGTAGGTGAGGCGAAGTCTGGCCATCCTTGCTTCCAAGGAGCATTCTGGCTGCACTTCCCCCAGGACAGATCTGTTAGTTCTTTTAGCAGTCCATGGTGCCTTCAGCATTCTTCTCCACCACCACAATTCAAAAGCATCAACTCTTCTTCGATCTTCCTTACTCATTGTCCAGCTCTCACATGCATACGAGGTAATTGGAAATATCATGGCTTGTGTCAGGTGCACCTTAGTCCCCAAGGAGACACCCTTGCTCCTCAGCACTTGAAAGAGCTCCTTTGCAACTGACTTGCCCAGAGCTATATATCGTCTAATGTCCTGACTGCTGCTTCCAGTGACCTCCACTATAGAACCAAGCAACATGAATTCTTTGACAACCTCAATTCTCCATTTATCGTGATGCTGCTTATTGGTCCAGTTGTGAGGATTTTTGTCTTCTTTATATTGAGATGTAATCCATACTGCAGACTGTGTTTCTCAATCTTCATCAATAAGTGCCTCAGAATTTTCTTTGTTGGTTACCAGGGGTGGGAGGGGAGGGGAGGGAACGCTGTTAGATAGATAGTGATAAATATTGATTTGGGTGAAGAGAAGGGCAATGTACCAAATGGGAGTGACCAATATGGCACCATTGAGGATGAAAAAGACATAGAGAGGTACATGGGAAGTACAGACAACAAATATGAACCCTTTTGCATATACAGTACTGAGTTGTCAGCGAAGGCAAACAGGGGTATATGGACGGATAGATAGGTGGACAGGCTAAACAATTAGGTATGTCTAAATGGGGAGTGTATCCAAGATAATATATAGGGTTGGCAGACAATGGTCCTATAAGTTTATGTGAGTGATCAGAATTCCCAGGGGCAAGGTTATGGTCATTGCTTGGTCACAGCCAGCTACCCAGAGGGACCGAGTAGTTGATCCTGCGGGCTTGGGACCATAGTCGCAGGGGACATCAAGCTCAATTGGCATAACATACTATACAAAACATTGTTCCACCTCCTACTTTGGCGAGTAGCGACTGGGATCTTAAAAGCTAGCAAGCTGCCATCTAGATGCAACAATGGGTGTCTCCTCGTCAAGAAGAAAGAAGAAAACCAAATGAATGGAAACAATCAGGCCTAGCGACTGGTACACCATCTGATCTGCAACCTATACAACTATGAGACCAGAAGAACTAGATGGTGCCCGGCTACCACTGTCATCCACTTGGAAGGGATGTACGAGATCCTACATAGAGAGGGAGAACAATATGGAACAAAACTCAAAATCATTTGGAGGCAAAAAAAAAAAGAAGGTGGGGACCAGGTTTGCTGGTCCAATAGAGCCTGGTGAAACCACTGAGACTATGGCCCCTAGCTGCCCTTCAGGTCTGGGATTGAACCCACACCTGTGGTTTCCAGCCAAACAAAGAACAGGCAAGTGAGTTAAACATTTACCTCAAGTAGACACACACCCTGGAGAGAACAATCATGGGAGAAGGAAGGGCTGCTTATGCACAGGGAGACAGCTCAGGGCGCAGAAGAGTATGGAGGGATGGACACTGGGAAGAGGTAACTATGGGGAGGAAGTGGGAGGGGAGCTGTTGCATTGTAAATTTTGGTCAATGGCATGAGACAAAGTATATGTGAACTGCTGTATGAAAAGTGAATTTACTCTGTAAATCTTCACCCAAATCAAAATAAAATTAAAAAAAAAAAAAAGCAAAGGAAAGGTCTACATATGGAAGAAAAAAAAAAAAATAAGTGCCTCAAGTCATCCTCACTTTTAGCAAACAAAGTTGTATCATCAGCGCATCTCAGGTTGTTAATGATTCTTCCTCCAATCCTGATGCCATGTTTTTCTTCATATAGACCAGCTTCTTGGATTATTTGCTCAGCATATAGATTGAATAAGTATGGAGAAAGGATACAATCCTGGCCCACTCCCTTCCTGATTTTAAACAATGCAGTTGTCCCTTTGTTCCGTTTGAATGATAGCCTCCTGATCAAGGTACAGGTTCCTCATGAGTACAATCAAGTGTTTGGGAATTCCCATTCTTCTCAATGTTATCCATAATTTGTTATGATGCACACAATCAAATGCCTTTGCATGGTCAATAAAGCACAAGTAAACATCTTTCTGGTATTCTTTGCCTTGAACCAAGATCCATCTGACAGCAGCTATGATATCCCTTGTTCAATGTCCTCTTCTGAATCCAGCTTGCATCTCTGGAAGTTCTCTGTTAATATAGTGCTGCAACCATTTTTGAATTATTTTCAGTAAGATCTTAGCTGTGTGTGATATTAATGATATTGTTCGATAATTTCCACATTGTGTGGGATCACCTTTCTTTGGAATGGGTACAAATATGGATCTCTTCCAATCAGTTGGCAGGTGGCTGTCTTCCAAATATCTTGGCATAACCAAGTGAGTGCCTCCAGTGCAGCATCTGTTTGTTGAAATATCTCAATGGGTATTCCGCCGATTCCCGGAGCCTTGTTCTTTGCCAATTCCTTCATTGCAGCTTTGACTTCCTCCTTCAGTACCATTGGTTCTAGATCTTATGCCATCTCCTGAAATGGATGAAGATCAACCAGTTCTTTTCGGTACAGTGACTCTGTGTATTCCTTCCATCTTCTTTTGATGCTCCCTGCATCATTCAATGTTTTGCCCTTAGAATCTTTCAATATTGCAACTCGAGGCTTAAATTTTTTCTTCAATTCTTTCAGCTTGAGAAATGCCGAGCATGTTCTTCCCTTTTGGTTTTCTAACTCCAGGTCTTTGCACATTTTGTTACAGTAATTGGCTTTGTTATGTGCTTTG